CCCCCCTTGGGAGGGGTAGGGTGCTTACATTTGGCTAGAGTTGGGTATTTCCCTTCTCTAATATGGAAGGCTAGAGGTAGCTGCAGTTGGGTGTTTTCCTTCCCCCAGGCCAGTTAGACTCTGATAAAAATCCAGCAGGTTAGGCTCTGATAAAATAATTCCCCTCAAGAGCAAGCCTTGTTATGAAGCACAGAATGTTCTGGCATATTTTAAAATGGCTCCTTTTCCCCTCCTCCTGCCAGAAGCACAAGAGGATTTTTTTCCAATATTCACGGTGGAAATGCGGTCAAGTTCCTGAAGGTAAAAAACACAAAGTGTGCCCTGCCCCTCACCCATGACTGGTTCCCTTGGAGTTTTTAACTCTCCCATTTGTCCACTCTAAGCCTCTGCCACTTCACTTATCAGAATTCAAGGTTTTCTGCGCCAGCACTTATTCCCGTGGAAGCTTCTGCTCCAGTAAGTTGTGAGTCTCTGTATCTGCTTGTGTCTCCAATTTGGCGCCAGCGTTAGTTGAAAACACTTCTAAAAAGTGAATTTTGGGCTTCCCTGGTGGCGCAGTGGTTGAGAGTCCGCCTGCCGATGCGGGGGACACGGGTTCGTGCCCCGGTCCGGGAAGATCCCACATGCCGCGGAGCGGCTGGGCCCATGAGCCATGGCCGCTGAGCCTGCGCGTCCGGAGCCTGTGCTCCGCAATGGGAGAGGCCACAACAGTGAGAGGCCCACGTACCACAAAAATAAATAAATAAATAAATAATGAATTTTATGGTATGTCAATTATATCTCAATAAAACAGTAAAGGAAAAGATTGGCCAGAAATCCAGATGACCCTCACAGTTTTCATTCCTGATGCCAAAGCAAACAGAACCTTAAGCAAGGCTGCTTTTGACAAAAGTAGTCCTGTAATAAAATATACTTGTTGTTTTAAAACTATGACAAAATCCAGAGTTCATAATGTAATGCTGCTAAGTGAAGGGGCAGTTGTGTAATTCCATCAAAAAAACTTTGCTTCAGTATGGTTTTTTTGTTGTTGTTATTTGTTTTTTTGTTTTTTGCGGTACACGGGCCTCTCACTGCTGTGGTCCCTGTGTCGGCAGGCGGATTCTCAACCACTGTGCCACCAGGGAAGCCCAAAGTATGTGATAATTTTGATTGGAAATAATAGCAGTGAAAATAAGCCCATTGTAGAATTGCATGTTTTTTTGTTTTTTTGTTTTTTTTTTTTTCCTTGCCTTATGCGGGCCTCCCACTGTTGTGGCCTCTCCCATTTGCGGAGCACAGGCTCCGGACGCGCAGGCTCAGTGGCCATGGCTCACGGGCCCGGCCGCTCCGCGGCATGTGGGATCCTCCCGAAACGGGGCACGAACCCGCGTCTCCTGCATCGGCAGGCAGACTCTCAAGCACTGCGCCACCAGGGAAGCCCGAATTGCATGTTTAAAAATGTATATGAGGACTTCCCTGGTGGCGCAGTGGTTGAGAGTCCGCCTACCGATGCAGGGGACACGGGTTTGTGCCCCGGTCCGGGAAGATCCCTCATGCCGCGGAGCGGCTAGGTCCGTGAATCATGGCCGCTGAGCCTGTGCGTCCGGAGTCTGGGCACTGCAACGGGAGAGGCCACAACAGTGAGAGGCCCGCATACCGCAAACAAACAAACAACAACAACAACAACAAAATATATATATATATA